TTGATCATTAGATTCTCGTCTCGTGTATAAATTATAAAAACCCACATGCGACACAGCCGAAGAAGACACAACACATAATACCAATAACAACCATAAAAAAGTTTGTAGATGAAGAGCAAGAACTCCGGCGTCGGATTTTGTGTCCCCCGTGTGAAGAACAACTCAAGAACCACCACCAGTGATCGGGAGATTAGTGTAACCACTATGACTTTCCTCGACCGTTTTCGAGAGGCCGTTCTCCGACTCATCATGATCTCTGCCGTCTCCAAGTCAACGTCTCACCGCCGTAACAAACCGCCGCCGGCAACAGTCCGGTGCCAAAAGTACTATAACGCCGCCGATACTAATCACAACGAAGCCGTGGCCGACTGTATCGAGTTTATCAGAACCAACAAGGCCATCGATTTAGACAACGGTCGTTGAAGCCGTCTCAATTGTATTGGTTTAGTTTGTATCTCGTCGGTAGATGTTTAACCGTTACCGGTCCGTGTTTTGAGATTGTCGGTTGTAGTGATTAATTAGCCAAAGTGGAATAAATTTTTTACCGTGTATGCACATGCCTTCCTTGATTTAATTTTTTTCATCTAAAAACAAATCATTATGATCGACTATTTGTAACCGGTTTATTGTCAAGACCGATCCACGCTTTACCGACTCTACCCCCCCCCAAATTTTGGAAATTGCTTATTATGGGCCTCATATTTTAAAAACTGAGCCCACACTTAAAAATTTCGGCCCAAATCTTCTTCCTTTTTTTTTGTTTTCTCTCCCTATAAGGCGGTGGAGGACGACGATCAACTCGAAGCCCTTGTTTAGGGCCAGTTTACCGATCACCGGCGATATTGGTGTCCGCGCCGGAGAAATGGTTGGTGAGTGCTGTCGTGTTATGAGATGGTCTGTTGCGTGGTTTAACTCGAGTTTAATTGATTATTCATGGTGGAATTCCCAGGGGAGAGAGAGGACCGAGTTTCTTTGGAACTCACTGAAGAAATTATACAGAGCATGGAACCTGGCGCTGTTTTCAGAGACTATGTAATTCCTCTCAACCTGAAATTGAAGCTTGTAGAGGGTTGATCTGTGCCATCTCTTGCTCAATTTCATCCCCTTTTGTCTCTGCTTCGAGTAGATTTTCAAAGCTTATTTCTTTAGGGATTTATATGATCAGAGTTTTGGTATTGCAGAATTGCAGGATTAGCTCGATTGACTTTCACAAAACTTCGAGTTATATGGTGACGGCTAGCGACGATGACTCAATTCGTCTCTATGATGTTGCAACCGCTACGTGAGGCTTTGAGAATTTCTCTAGACATTCCAGTTTGGGTTTCAGTATAGTCTTAATTCGTTTTCTTGTGTCAGATGTCTGAAGACAATTAACAGCAAAAAGTATGGGGTTGATCTTGTTTGCTTCACTTCGCATCCTACTACTGTCATCTACTCTTCCAGAAACGGATGGGATGGTGAGTCTTCTTATGCCTAATACATCTCTGTGCTTTGTTGATTCCACATTATCTGTATAAAGTAAATTCTTCAATTTCTGGTTAGACTCTCTGCGGCTTCTCTCTTTGCACGATAATAAGTACTTACGCTACTTCAAAGGACATCATGACAGGTTTATTTCTTTACTGATTCTCGTTTATCAACTCATATTCTTCTTCACAACTAATTGGTGTTAACAAGCTTCTGTCGTTAGCAGAGTTGTTTCGCTTAGCTTGTGTTCTGGTGGGGAATGCTTCATATCTGGTTCTCTTGATCGAACTGTTTTGCTTTGGGATCAAAGGGTGGAGAAATGCCAGGTAGCTTACCATTTTTTACCCGTAGGTGCTTATGTCAGTCACCGCCTGATATAATGGTCATTTGGTTTAATCATAGGGTCTGTTACGAGTCCAAGGAAGGCCTGCTGCAGCATATGATGATCAAGGGTTAGTTTTTGCAATTGCCTTTGGTGGCTACATAAGAATGTTTGATGCCCGTATGTACGAAAAGGTCTGTTGTTAACAAAAGTTACCCAATGGCCCTGCTGTGTCTTTTGCAGCTTGGATCACCTGTATTCCCAATTTTCTTATGTTACTTTGAAAACATTTTTTTTTTTAACTGATTGGGACAAGGTGCTTGCATAGGGTCCTTTTGAAATATTTTCCGTTGGTGGTGATCATTCCGAGGCAAATGTTGTGAAATTCAGTAATGATGGAAGGCTGATGCTGCTTACAACCATGGATGGTCATATTCATGTGCTTGACTCCTTTCGCGGAACACTCGTATGCCTTCTCTTCAGTTCTCATGTTTTTTCATCTTCACATGCCCAGCATGCATACATAAACTGGTTTATGTGACTTTTTTTTTTTGCAGCTATCGACATATAGTGTGAAACCAGTAGCTGAAGAATCTACGTTGGATGCAACCTTCAGTCCTGAAGGGATGTTTGTTGTTTCAGGTAACCCTGTGTTTTACCTGATTTGGATGATACATGCATACACACTACCCACACTTGCTCCATGTAAAACCCACTCTTTCTATATTTTGGTAGGTTCAGGAGATGGTAGCACCCATGCATGGGGTGTGAGGAGCGGAAAACAGGTTGGACTAGCAATGCAAACCGTAGTGGTTCCATGGAAACTTTGAATTGTTTGTGTTTATTATAATTGGATTCTTGTTTGTGTAGGTTCATAGTTGGATGGGTCATGGCAGTGAACCAGCAGTCATAAAATGGGCACCAGGAAGTCCCATGTTTGTCACAGGCTCCACCGAACTTGCGATTGTTATACCTGACTTATCAAAATTGCCTGCTTATGCCATACGGAAATAGGATCTATCAGACAGACTTTCACTGTAATGTGATCTCAAGCTCTACGCACCGCCTTTGCTTCTCTGCTCGTCTCTTCAACGCCCATTTTTGCACTGTGTTGTGAGTCATGCAGCCGGTAACTTATTAATTCGCTCCGAGTGTTTTGTAACGATTATTAGTAACTCTTGTACCTTGAATCCCAAGTCATTCTCTAATGTTAACATTTCTGTCATCTGCAAGTACATGAAAATGAAATCGGACTGTATATATGAAGTCATTGACTCAAGATGGGATCATGGGCTCGGAGAGTTAAAAAGAATCTGGGCCGGCTTAATACTCTAGTAGACCTCAATAAGGCCCAAACTCGGAAAGATGTAAATGATCCTTGAAAGAAAGAAAGAAAGGTGGTACTTGATTTCATTATTAAGATGTTCAGGGAAACTTTATGCCCAACTAATTTTGATTCTCCTCCAATTATATTCGCAACTAATCAATCCTTAAGCAAACGACCCGTTTGTCATCAACTCGACCCGACTTCGCTCGCCTCGCCTTTTCAAATCGGTTGATCGGCCGGCGCCAGATTGCGTTTTGCCTCCCGAAATCTCCGGCCAATAATAGTTCCTCTGTAACACCATTTCCGGGTATTTCGTTTGCTATTCCGAGCTTTTGCTCTTCTCTTGCGATTTGGTTGTGCTCATTTTGATTACGATTTTGAAACCTGTTTGCGATTGATGGCTTTAGGATGTGTATTCTTGTATTTTTCGAAGAATGAATCGATGTTGTTGCCTTGAAGGTGGTTTGAATTCGCTGGGTTTTTTCTTGTAAAACTTGTTCTTCCTTGTTTGTTGACTTGGGAAATTTCTCCAATTTCGTCGAAAATGTGTAAGAGATTGAACCTCCGAACATTAAGCTTAGATTTCATGCTTTTCTTCTTCCCATAACGTTCCTCATCGTCTTAATTAGCTGCATTCTCTTTGTTGCTTGTGCGCTTTTTCTGTTGAGTTTCGTTTCGTTTCTACGATATTTATATGTTTGTCACTGTGTTAGCGACATCTTACAGATTTCAGCTTTCTGGGATTAAGTAGTTAAGTAAGCCTATGGCTGCAAAGGAAGATGTTTCTGCCTCAAGTGTAGAATCTAAGATCATTGAGGATCATGAATTCTGGATGCAAGCAATGGAAAGGAGCCGGTCCAACATCAATATTCTGCAAGACAGATTCGTAAACGTTGAGGAATCTGCTCTGGTTTCCAAGGATGTTTCAGAAAAGGAGACTGAGATTCTCTGGAGGCGAGTGAAAACTGCAACAGCGTTATTGACCTACCTGAAATCAAAAGCAAGGACTGTGGCTGCTGCGGATTTGGCCCAGCTATCACTTGGAGGAGCTGACAAGCTCGATGAGGGTGATGCGCTTGTAGATAGTAGTTGCTTGCCCGATTCTGGATTGTTTGAGACAATTGCTCTCTCGGCATGTGATGGTACTGACACTCAGCTAATAAGGATGGCGACTGGTACAAAACAAGGATCAGTAGATGAACATGATGGGACTTATGTCGCTGAGATGCTAAAGCATGTAGAGACGGTTACAGGTGTAATGGAGTCTCTGGCTAGGCGTGCTATAATCGCTGAATCAGAAGCCGCAGTTGAGAAAGGGAAAGTTATGTTAAGTCAAGAAGAGATTCAAAGAAAGGTTGGCCAAATCGAGAACATGTCCATGAAATTACAGGACATGGAAAAGTTTGCTCTTGGGACCAGTAGTATTCTCTGTGAAATGCGGCAGAGGGTAGATGACTTGGTCGAAGAGACATCTAGACAGAAGCAAAGAGCTACGGAAAATGAGCACGAACTCAGTCGTGTCAGGAGAGATTTTGAGTCGCTTAAATCCTATGTTACAAGTCTCATTAGCGTCAGAGAAACTCTCGTATCATCGGAGAAGCAGTTCCAAACAATCGAGAGACTTTTTGAACGGTGAGTTTCATGTACTTCCCTTTTCTTCTGAAACAGAACATCTTCTAGTTCTTTCTTAGTTTATTGACAAATCATTGTGTAGGCTCTAGATTTAGGAACTTTGATCATTGTTTCATGAATTTGCATACTCACTGTGTAGGGCTCTAGAACTAAGAACTTTTGATCATCATGAAACCATAAAGCTCAGAACTTTTGACTCCACAGTCGTGGCTATTATCTTAAAAGTAATTCTCTGTCCAAGATGATTTTGGTTTCCCTTATCAGCATGAGTAAACTTGTCTGGGGTAGTGGATCACCATTACAGAACAGATTCATCTGTAGTTTCCAAGTCGGCATTCAAGGTTATAAACACACGTCATCTTTGGGATTGGAGATAAGATAGATACCGGGATTCGCATCATGTTTATTCTAGCTATGTGTTTGATAACGTGTAGTCCCAAAAGCTTCATACTTGCATATTTCCTTTCCTATTGTGATTGGTAGTTCATGGGGTATTAATGTTGATGAAAACAGGCTTGTCGCAAAGACAACGCAGTTGGAAAGCGAGAAAGTGCAGAAAGAAGCAGAGGTTCAGAAACTAATGGAAGAGAATGTAAGACTGACGGCTCTTGTGGACAAGAAAGAGGCACAGCTTTTGGCCATGAATGAGCAGTGCAAAATGATGGCCCTAAGCTCCATATAATGGTTAGAAGAAAAATGAAATGATTAGTAGATTTGCTACTTAAATCTTTCTTCCTCATGTGATGTAACATAAAGAAACCCTCATTTGATACAACATTTTCTTCCATGTTTGTTGATACCAAGAAAATATTGGGTCTTCGAAACAAAAACAAAGGGAGACTCGGGCTCTACATGTGATTGTACATTATTACATTCTCTGCGCATGAAAATACAATCGTGGTTTGACTTAAACCTTAGCTTGCTCAAGGGGTTTAGGGTTTTAAGCTTGAATAGGATCTGGTTTGAGTGAGGTAATTGGTCATGATTGGAGGGTGCACGAGACTGTATGGGCTTTCTGTTATGTTTCCGTTAATGGTGTTTTGTCTGTAATACATGATTGCTCAATTTCTTTCATCCACAGAACATGAAGAGCCGTCGTAGCCCATGTTCTCTTTGAGCAATTTGAAATTCAGTGACATTAATATATATTATCATGTGGTACATGTAATTTCTTCAGTCATCTCATCAGTGTGAAATTAATTACATGATCTTCAGTAGAAACATGGGGAACTTACGCTTCGTTTTGTCACATAGATTGATGAAGCTGCCAAGAGCGTAGTGGCATTTGATTTTATATATTTATCTCTTATCCATGGTCTAATAGGAAAAGTGTTGCACATGGTGAGTCCCATAACGTTGAAACATCATGTTAATTCTCTATGTATGTTATGTAGTTATGTGTGGGTGCAATTAACATGTGAAATCCAATGTATATATATATTATTATTCCTCACCCTATATACATTATACAGATGTATGTGTTTGTGCATATAAATATGAGTCACCCACTATCTCTTTATCTATAAGCCAAAAGAAGAAAAGATAAAAAAAGAGAACAGAGAGGCCAAAGAAGAGAGGATCTTTGAGAGATGGGAGTAGAAAGGGGAAATAGTGGTAAGGGTTTGAAGAAGATGCTAAAGAGATGTTCGAGTTTAGGGAAGAAGAGTAACGTCGACGTTAACTTTAACGGCGTTCCCAAAGGTCACTTCGTCGTCTACGTTGGTCACTCAAGGTCACGACACGTCATCCCCATCTCCTTCCTCACGCACCCCATCTTCCAGGTAATAGACAAACCCATGTATATCTCCTTCCCATGATCATTGCAAACTATCTATATATGTGAAACAATCTATTCATGAATCAGATTTTGTTGCAACAATCTGAGGAAGAGTTTGGGTTCTGCCAAGACAGTGGCATAACCATCCCTTGTGATGAACACTTCTTTCAATCTCTCATTTCCTCCATTAATCCCTGACTAGACAAATATGAAGAAGAAGATAATATTCCATTCTCCGATGATAAATTCGTGTCTATCTAATGTACCTACTTGTGTAGTGTATATATTTTCTTCCTTAGTTCTCATGTATTAGTTAATAGTGCATGTCATTTGAGAGAAGTAGAATTTACGTTACGTACGCACTTCTTTTTAGCCTCTTTTTCTTGGATAATATTCTTAAACCAAAGCGTTGTTTGGCTTGATGAAGGGTAGCTGAACAAAGCCAGAGATGACATTGCCTATAAATATCTTAAAACTTCTTTTGTATCGGACCCCCAAATTTTTGTCCCCATGCAATTATATAAGTATATATATCCCTAAATTCAACAGATTTTCGCCCTCGACACTCATGGACCCTTCTTCACCAGATGGAGAGGGTCACGTATTGCTCTCAACACTCGACCAAAATTGTCAATATTTAACTAATTAAATTCTATAATTATTTTTCGATAATATATATATCTCATTATTATTTTGAGAATTTTGTTTTTATAAATAGTCTACTTCAATTCACTCCCAAGTAAACGCGCATGAATACACGACACAAAATCCATGAAAGTAGACTTTATTCATGATGGTGTCACAGTAAGCCCTAGTCACAAATACTTATACAATAATGTTATTAGTGTTAAACAAATCTTGGAGATGGTATGTCACCACCACCACATAAATACGACAATTAATACTTTTCCTATGATATGCAAAACGATAATTTTATATTAGTAAACGTCTTCTACATCGCATAAGTTTCGGACACTTGGCTCCTAAAGTATGATCTCATCATGATATTAATATTCGGTATCATTTGAGAGTCGTATTAGTTGTGACGTAATTGGTGTGGCAGTGAAGTGATCAAAATGTTTGAACAATGGATATTGATTTAATTAGAAACACATTATCTAACCACCATCCAATAATTCATATCGCGCGAAAAAACAACTTGACATAACCGTTTTAGTTAAGGCCTCAACAACACAATATGTATTTATGGATAAACTCGAGAAAACATTATTTATTTACGTATTTGGTAACACCAGTCACAGAATATATTATTGGTATAACTATTTATTCTGAAACAAGAACTAATCACAAGAGATTGTCAGTTTAAGTATTTTGGTTGAGCGGAGGTGTAGGGTTCACATGTCGGGTCTTCTTGTGTTGGCTATTATTTATCTAATGGTTTTTGCCCATTGTTTTCCTTCTTCGTATAATTAATTAGAAAATTTTACCTATAATAACTCACTTTTTAAAATGAATTGCTAGGATAACCTCTTAAAAATTTTATTGTTCAAATAACTTACTTTACATTATGTTTCTTTCATAATACTAAAAATGTCTCTACTAACTAATTAACATTAGAAATAAATTTAATTTTAAACAAAAACATTTCAAATAAGAAAATAGATACAAAATTTAAAAAACTATTATCAACAAAATACAAAACACTCAAGAATTGTGTCAATGTTTTCGTAGATTATAACTTTTTTTTTTTGTAAATTCTATATTTTTTTTTGCAGAGTCTGCCAATGCTTCCGCAAATTCTGCCAATGCCTCGGCAGAGTCTGCGTTTTTAGTAGAGTCTGCCAATATATATCGGTAGAGTCTGCGTTTTTTTGGTAGTGTCTACCAATATCTCGGCAGTGTCTACTAATGTTTCGGTAGACTCTGCGCTTTTCTAGATACTGGCAGACTCTGCTAATATCTCGGTAGAGTCTACTAATATCTCGGCAGAATCTGCCAATATTTTAGTAGAGTCTGCTAATGTTTTGGCTGAGTCTACGAATTTCTAGATAATGGCAGAGACTGCCAATACATCGGTAGAGTCTACCAATACCTTGGCAGAGTCTACCAATATCTCGGCAGAGTTTACCAATACCTTGGCAGAGTTTGCCAATATTTCGGCAGAGTTTGCGGTTTTCTGGATGACACTTTAATTTTTTTCAAAAATGTTGGTAGACAGTCTGCTAGTCTACCAATGTCTCGGTAGAGTCTGCCAATATTTTGGTAGAGTCTGCGAAAGTTAATTTTGGTATTATAAAATTAAAAAAATCTAGAATAGGTTATTTCAGCAGTAAAAAAAATAGTAAGATTATTCTAGTTATTTAAAAAAAAGTTATTTTAGTTAATCTCCCAATTAATTATCACCAAATATATACATTTCTAAAAATCATTGAATTCTCATAGGAGTTGTTTAGTCCACGGATTTTAAGATCAAGTATTTATGACATTTTTATAGTTTGTACATCAAGATTATGAAAAGCAAACAGGTCTAAAATTGTACATCAAGATTATGAAAGCAACCCGGTCTAAAATTGGACGGCAAAAAAATGGCTAAAATTTTCAAAATTCTCGAACTTTGGTCGAAGAAATGTTAAGGCCTAACCAAACAAAAAGAACCATGGATTACTAATTTTTGGAAACTTTTAAAACAACTTATCTGAATTTGGATCAAGCTATTTACCAAAATTTCACATGTACTTGTGATTAAATTTCAGTCGAGTCGTAGCTGTGTTTGACAAATCATCCATCGTTACGTACCAAACTTGAGTCTCTTAGCTCTGGGAAACTCGGCTGCAACATCTGCGGTCCACATCCTTTTCGAGCGGTCGTGAAGATATAAGCAACTCTCACCAAGCTTACATCCTCTGGCTCGACCAAAATACATGCACGGTTTCTGAAACTTAGCCTTTACTACTTTCG